CCAACACGCTAACACAATACATACGTTTATGTATGTTTATGTATGCATACTGTATAAATACATTTCAAGGATGGCATTTTCATGGTTGGACGCTCGAGAAAACGCATACGCCCCGTTGTCTATGTGTGCCTCTTTTGCCATGTTCTGCTCTTTGGCTTTTAGTTATCGTCAAGCCCTGTAAAATGTATAAATACAGAGGACCTGTAATTCCGACACTCCACTCCCCGTCCCTGATTCAATCTACGCCCCTCACCCATACCCTACCATCCCATCCTATCCCCCCAAACCAAACCAATCCAATCCAATCCCATCGCCTGTCCCACGGCAATCCTCTCAAGGCGTTGCCTTGTTAACATGTCGCATATTCCGGCATTATTTACGCTCGCCTTGTCGCTCATCGCACATTTGGCCTGCTTTGTTTTAACGGCTTTTGTGTTGGCCCGGCTATTTACACTGGAAAATGTTGCTCCGCCAGCGCCCCAGAAATTGTACTCAAGTGTTAATATTGCGGGCCTTGGAGAGATGGGATAAGGCCATACGCATTCTACTTAGCCGCCTCGTCTGGCTGACTGGCAGCTGCCTTGATATGACCAGACAATGACAGACAACAACAATAACAGTAGAGCAAAAATGGGCAGGAGGAGTAGCACAGCACAGAGAGAGAGAGAGGGCGAGGCTAGTGCCCGTATCGGTGGAGACCCAGAGCCTGGGGGCAGTCTGGGGCCAAACAATGAGCTCTAAAGGCCATTTGGTTAGGTGTTCCCCGAGTGTTTAGCTTAGATACGAGCCTGGACAGAGTAGGCAGGGGCGAGCAAGCTCCGTGTGGATAAGGCCACTCATAGTCTCTTGACGTCTGTGTGAAAGAAGGCCGAAGGCTTCTCCAATGGCCAGAAGGGGGCTGTGGCCAGAGACAATTAGCCAGAAATTAGATGTTCCAGACGTTGATAACATATAATGGGTTCACTACAGGAGAGCCACAGTCTCTGTGGTCGCCATTGGAGTGTGGAAATTTGATGTGAAAGCCGTTCCCATTCAGGCTGAGGTAGCTCCAGGGATGCCTTTACTCACTCTCTCTCTCTCTGCCTACAATACGCTTAGATGAAATCCCAATTATATTGCCTCAGGCAGCTTGCCACGCCTCCAGTCAGCCGTAACGCTCACCCACACAAACGGAGAGACTCTTTAGCGAGTGGCAAATGCGGCATGTTGACAATTAGTCCTTTAAATTAAGTGGGTGGATCCGGGCTGCCGCAAGGAAGGGCGGACGGGTGGATGGGCGGTGTGCGTGTCCTTCTATTGTGTAGCTCCCAATGAAATTGATTGTGCTTTTCACTGCTGCCCCACATTGCAGGCGAGCACGTGGAAAGTTGGAGCACACCGGGAGCCCAGGCGGAGGCTGTTGCCGAGGCTTTGGCGGACGCTGTGGCTGTGGCTTAAGGTGTTTTGGTATTTGGCTTTGTGACCGGCGGACAATGAGACGAAAGCCGAGTAATTAAGACAGAGACAAACACTCGGGGAAACCACTTAGGGCCAAGCACCAAGCAAAAAGGAAGAGAGCCAGCGAGAAGCACAAAGGACAAAGGTCATCGAGCCACTTGGCTCGTGTTTATGCTCCTTTTATGCTGCAACTTCATTAAATTTTACTTTTACGAGCGCAACAAATCCTTAAAAACATCTCAGAGCCGGCCACGCCCCTCCAGCCCCTCAAGAGTAGACATCTGTAGCTGGAAATGTGGCAGGACAACGGCAGTTTTAATTACTTTCTGCATAAATTTTCGCTCATTTCCTGCTCTTTCTCGCTTTCTTTTTATACACTACTTACCATAAAGGCGTTGCCAAGGCTGGAAGGCGTCCTTTATTGTACAGCAGGCAGTGTCTATCTGTCAAAGAACCGATCAATCCTCAGGGTATGTTATGCTTCGACCTCCGAAGCAGCATTCTCCTCTGGACTCTGGCTATGTCTGGCCTTAGCCAAATGGAAAAACATTTAGTTACAAGCTGACATGGCCTGTATGTATATGTACATGCCATGCATATAGGACAAGGGACGAGTACGAGTACGATTATATACAGATATTCTCTCTGAAATTATGCAAAAGAAAAACGCGATGGTGTCCTCCACGACTGTGGAATGTGTTTTGGCTATAAAGGGAGTTTGGTGGCGTTCGCTTTATGCCCGACACTTGATGGCAGTTTTGGCCAACTGGCGGCTCTGGCTCCGGCTCCGGCTCCCCACTCCCGGACATGTGTGAGTGTCCTTTTGGGCGAGCACTCTCTGTCGGAGTCTGCTGGCAAATTGTTATTTAATTATGGCATCCTGGCTCGTATCCTAAACAGCACCAGAAGTAGCAGTCGTGGCAGGTTGGAGACGGATGCCACCGACTGGTCACGTACTGGAGTAATGGCAAATAAATCAACAGCGGAAGCGTTGCAAGTGACGTGCCACTGATGTGGTTTGGGTTTCGGGTTTCGGGTTTAGGGCCCCTTTTTCACCTGAGAAGGATGCTGCCCTTTTGCCTCTAGGACGCAACAGAGCGTGAAATGATTGACTTTAAAGTCAAATTGCGCAATTTATGTTACAGGTCGGAACCAGAGGCGTGGCCGGAAATGAGCTTTGGACGGGAACGGGCCACGGGCCACGGGCCATAGGGCACATCCCAGCCACGGCTTGGCATGACATTCAATTAACTCGATGCCCGGATCCGCAGGTCGCTCCAGCAGTTCGGAAATTATTCCACTGGTAGCCTGACAGTTGCATTTGCCTGTGGCCTGGCAACTGCCATTTGGAAACAGTCCTTTCTACCAGAGGTGTCGGCGGTTAGGGTTTGAGTCAGAAATAATTTGCTTCTAGTCACAGCACAACTTCCAGTTGCATGTTTAAGTCAGTAAGCGAAAAGTTTGGCCAAAGTTGGAGTCCTGTCTTGTCCTGCCCTGTCCTCAGTCGGAACTGAACCTGACAGCTGCCGGCTGTGATTACCAAATCAAGAAATAATTGCTTGCTTGTCTTGGCCCATCATCGTTCCCATCACCATCATCACCCTCATCAAAATGGAATGTTTCTGCTTGATTTGAGCCTGCTCGTAAGAGTATGTGACCTAAATCCTGCCCAAACACGCGCCTCTGGCAGGTCTCTGTACTTGTCCAAGGACACAGATATGGCACAAACACCTTCACGTCTGTGCAGATTTTGCAGATGAGCTGCAGCTGAGCTCCAGCTCCAGCTCCAGCTCCAGCTCCACCTCCAGCTCGTAAATAGTTTTCATTTGTGGCCAAGCAAATGTGTCAATATTAAGTTAGCCGACAAGCAGCATTAAGGCGCTTTGCGGGATGTCCCTTGGTCTGGGATTCCGGTCGGTGAATGGAGCGGGAAGCAATTTCTTATCCTTTATCAAGGCAACTGTCGCACACAGAGACGCTTGTGTCTGTCTGTCTGTCTATCTGCCTGTGAGTGTGTGTGTGTGTGTGTGTGTGTGGCTTCGTAAGTGCTGTAAAATGTTCGCAAAATCCACTCAAGCTCACAAAAGTCACTTGCCTGACAGCAGGTGGAAAGCAGGTGGCACTGAAGACATCCCAACTTTATCCAAGGGGATGGGCTCCATTTTTACATTTTCATGGCTTCCCCTGGATTACCTTTTTCCCTACTCTTTCGCTCTCCCTCCGGATAACTTCCCCCTTTTCTCGGCCACACAAATAAAGCTGACAGTTAATCCGTAATTGATCTGGAAAAAAAGGTACGATTATGATAATGAAGCTGACAATGACAATGTCGCCTCTTAAGGAAAGCCATCACCTCGTCAAACAGCTCAAGTGCCCGAAAATAACCCCTCGCTGAGGAGGGTTGAGGGAGTCACGTGTTCTTGACCTGCCACCCAAGGAGCCGCAGGAATTTAAATTCTTATTTACCGATAATAAAACGAGCGAAAGGAAGAGAAAGAGGAAGTCGAGTATTCCGAATGGAATATACCCCCGCTCTTCAGATTTCATTTTGTTGCACAAAAGTGGAATTTAATATGCGTAAGACAAAAGAAGAACAAAGAGAATATCTTATGGGTTGCTGGCATATCTTCCTCTTTGCTTTTATGGCTTTAATGCATTTTTGAAAGAGATGAGTTTTAGGTGGTTTGGTAGATAATATCTATGAAAACAGCTACATCGAGTAGAACTAAAGGAGTACCACTCTTTTTTTGTGCTGTAACACTAGTATCCGACTGAACTGAGGTACAATCTAAAGGGGTATACTCTTTACGACCCTGTTACATCCATCTAAACAAACAGCATATACCCGAGTGCGTTTCACGATTACGTGTCATGACAAATGTCCTTGGTCTGGGGAAATTCGTTTATGGAAATGCGTAAAACGCAGAGAAATTTGCAACTTACCTAAGCAGCAATAAGGCGAGGGAGAGAGAGATCATAAATAAAACAATATCATATGAATGCATATTATTACACTCTTGTCCCGGGCTTGTGTGTGATGGAGTGTGTGAAAATGGGAATGTGGGGAGGATGGGAAGATGGGAGGATGGGTGGATGAAAGGATGAGACGGGGCTTTTGCGACAAGTAAACAAAATATTATTTGCTTTTTGCCACGCAATTGTCAGACAGATAGAGGACCCAGAGACAGGTCACGTCCTGCCAGGATATGCAAATAAGCGAGTGTGTGTTGTGTGTGAGTGTCGTTATATATATCCTTGTTCCCGCATCCTGCAGCACACAGGATGATGATTGTCACAGTAATAGGAGAGCAAGTGTAGCGCAAGCCCACCCGCCAGCAGCATAAGCCAAAAGTGAGGGCAAGACCAGGACCTACGCCAGGAGCATACCAAATGTCAGTCGGCAAGTGCGCAAGTTTTCCTAGACGGCACTGCCACGGCAGCAGCCCAGCTTGAGCCTTTGCAGCCGACACAGACACAGACACAGACACTGAAAACTTGCCACCAGCAGCCTCGAGCGAAGGAGCACCCACCACAAGAGCAACAACAACAACGGCCACACAGAGATGGAGGAGACTGCAGCAGGACCTGCGACGAAGAAGAGTGGCACCACACTGTCCGTGGATCGGGCCGCGTTCCTCCTCCTGCGCGTCCGGAAGGCGTTCAAGAAGAAGCGACAGCAGCGAAAAGAGCGACAGTAAGTTGAATGTTTGCCATTACTTAACCATTGGCTGGGGTAGGGGGAGCCAAAGTGGGGCCTGGGTGCAAGGAGGATTTGACAGGATTTGCTAGGATTTGGCTGAGCGCACAAGGCCCATTGAATTGTCAGCCAGCCAGCCAGCCAGCCAGCCAGCCAGCCAGCCAGCCATCCAGTCAGGCATCCTGTCAGGCGAAGGCAAACAGAATTAACAAGTTGTTTGAACTAAGGATTTGGCCGCAATTAAAACCGATTTCTATGCCGTCAAACAAACTTTCATCTTTGCAACAAACTAACTAAAAAAACAGATCGATATGCTACGACCACAAAATAAACATCAATCAAAAGTACACGTCTATTCTTTGGTGCAGTCTTTCAAGTTGCAAACAATTGCAACGATTCAGAGAGATTATCCGATCGATAAGGTGTTTTATTTTGTGGAAATATTTAAATCAAAGCTCTCCTGGATTCAGGAGCTTGAACAAATCCCCGCAGAGACTGATTGGTATTCCAGTGTTGTTTGCACCCAAAAAAGCTTCCATCTGCCTTTAGCATTTTCACGTTTTCCCGATTAGCATTTACCCTTTGCCCTCAAAAACAACCGCGAAGGAGAACGGATATAAATAGAACGAACAATTTTGGGGGAAAACAAGCCAACGCACTTGGCTGGCAGATGCATTCTTGGAATGCATTGTGGGAAGAGCCCTTCAAGTTCCTGATAAAAAACGCCTGGCTCTTAGCGCTAGATGCCTTCAGCCTTTGGTCTGTTCCGGGAAATGGACGCGGGACGAAGATAGGACGGGGGGAAAATGGCAACCGAACCAATCTCGATTCCCATGCACGTCCTGCAGCCGTTGCTCATTTGCTTTCTAGGAACCCTCTAGGACGCAGCTCGTTAGATATTTGCTCCGTTTATTGCGTGGATTCTCTTTTGTGAGCTGCAAAGTAAATTTTCGACATTTTTTTTGTGTTGTTTGCGCTACTGCATCGTTGTAATGAAAATGCTTCTTATGCTCTGGCATCCGCATGCCCATCGTTTGCTTAAGCCCAGACGCAGGACGCAGGACGAAGGACGCGGGTGCTCTGAAAGAATGCCAAGCGGCAAACTCAATTAGGCACGGCCCGGGCCGCCACCCGTTTCCGGGAAACAAACGGGTCCTCAAGTGGGGTGGCGTGGTTTCTTTAAGAACGAATTGCTTTCGCGCAGCTCGCTTTAACCCATTCTAAAGGCAATCCGAAGGAGCAGAAGCCTGGGCTAAAAAGGGCTGCCATCCGATGATTTGATTACACGAGCAACATTTGCTCTAATTATGCACGCACATGTAAACACAGCACCAAATGCAATTACACGACTTACCCTCTCACACACACATGAGCGGACACACATTGGATTACAGGTCACACACAGCGTATGCGTAATTTGGCAAAGCCCTTCGGCTTAGTGGCCCTTTTTACAGACATCCGCCGCCATCGTCCGCATGCCAGGCCGCTGTTGGGCGACATTAACGATGCCATAGGTAATGCCCATGCTGATACCGATGTTTATGGCGGGTACCCGGCACCAGGAACTTCATTACCTCCCAACTGGTGCTGTCCGAGGTGTCAACAGAGGCGTCCCTTAATTGGCATATGCAAATGGGCATAAGGATAATCATTAGGAAGGAAGAATTTCTAATAGAATTAGGAGTGGAACTCGTGTATGTTCAGCTCCTATATGTAATGGGCGTTCCCTAATGAATACCTGTGGGTATTCGCTTTCCGTTTCAAAAGTGATGAAAGATAAATGCGAAAGGTAAATACATGGTGGAGCGGGGTTTGAAAAAACCCAAGGAAAAATGGGCTTTTATCAATATAAATTGCAGCAATTAATTAGAGAAAATTAGGACCTTTTTAGGGACCTGGTTCTATAATAAAATAACTAAAATATATATAAGGTGGAGAATAGTTTGGTTGAATGATTTCTAAACCTACCCTGAGGGTATGGTGTACCCACTTCGTTTGATCCTTTTAACACATGCACTCCTTGCCGACTTCCTGCTCTCATTAAATAACGCCTTTACACCCCACTCCACCCCCGTATGACTCCTTTATCAGGCTGTAAAGTTTTATGTGGCGCCCAATCTTCAAGCTTTTTTACCGGCAATTCTGGCAGCATGTTAACCTTTTCCTCCTGGCGCTGCGCGCCATCCAGCTCTTCCTCAGTTTTGTTTAACCGAAAGGTGGTGGCAAATGTTGTGGGGTAATGCACGATTTACGGTTACGAGTATTTCACGTCAATTATGCAGATCCGCTTTGAGTTATGTGAGTGGGTTGCCGTTGCCCGCCCACTGCTTCTTCGGCCATATGCCGCCTGCCGTAGACCTGCCTTTGCCCTTTGCTTCCCGGCCTTGTTGCGTTCCCCGTTCTGCTCCCCTGCTGTGACCTGTAACAGCTTGCCCTTAGTGGGTGCTGCCACATTATACGACTATAGGTGGGTGCGTGTGTGTGCTGTAACCCTGCGCTTAACGCACTCAAAAGTGCCTTAACATCCTGCAACACCAGGCCTATAAACAAAAGGAGACTAAAGAGGCGTTGCGGTGCTCAAAAAATAAAGAAAATACAACAACAAAAACTACAACCTTTCCCGCTAAAGCGTTGTGTAATTTTCTTTTTATTTATGTGTGGACATTGTGTGTTGTTGTTCGTTTCGCTGCTGTAACTATTTCGAATGTTTTCTTCAAGTTTTCCCCAGACCCCACATCCTCTCCTTTTCCAGCAAGGACGCATATAAATTGCTTACATGATTCTTTTTCTGTGTAACTTTGCTGCAGCTCTTGTCAGCGATGCGAGAGATGAAGGAGTGTGCGATTGAAAGTATTATCCTCCAGGCCCTCGCTGGGGATCTTAAATGCCTTGGGGTTGCCTTGGTGGGAGAGAGATGAGTCGAAAAACTTTGCTGATTTTGCTTCGTTTGGCAGCTACCATTCCCATTCTTCCGCTCCCGTACACAACACAGCCATTCCCAGTCCGATCTGGCTGTGTATCATCATCAATATATACGCGCACAATTCCGTGTTAGAGCGAGGACATGAAGCTGCCAACTTGTGTCGAAACTCTGACAGATATTCGGTCGGGCGCCTTGGCAAAATGTCAAAGTCAAAGTAAATCAAATAAAAAGTTTTCCATTTCTGTAGCTTCGTCCTTTTTGCATACGGAAATATGTAATATCGCAGTATGTAGGGTGTCCATCAGCCTGACAATTGTTAGAGCAGAGCAGAGCAGAGCGGAGCACAGCCGAGCAGAGCCGTGCCCCCATGACGCATCTGGGGTAGGCGTCGAGTTGGGACACCCATTCGAGTGCCAGAAATTCAATCACACATCAAGTTGCACAAATTGAGGGGCGTGGTGGGGTGGCAGCTGTCACTGCCAGCTGGTGGAGGTTGAGAAAGAGGTTGGAGAGATGCTGGAAATAATTTTCCACACAACAATCAAATGTAATTCGCGTGTGTGCGAAAAAAAAATGCGCAAATCAACAGCTGACACTCGCACACCCTCGATGCAGGAAGTGGAATAAGGGATGGGAATGGACATGGGAATGGGAATGGGAATGAGGCGAGGGGCGTGGGGCATGCAAATGAAACGGAAATGGCATCCATGACAATGGAGGAGAAAAATCGTAGGAAGAACTAATTGCATTTCCTTGCTGACACACCCCACTCGTCGCACTTAATATATAATTGCATTAACTTATTATTGTCACTTCCTTTGGCACTTCCTTCACCCTTTTCCACTCACCCTGTGATCTCTGTGTCTCTCTCCTTTCAGGGCCCAGCAGAGCAGCGCCGCTGCGGGTGGTAGTGCGAGTGGCGTTGGCAGCGGAGGCGGCGGCGGCGGCTCTGGGTCGCAATCACGGACGGGCAGCCGCAAGCTGCCGCCGCCATTGTTACGGTCGCGCACCCTGCCAGCCATCATTGTGCCAGGACTTCCGGTCGTCTCGCTGCACACGGATAAGCAAACATTTCAATTGGGTGCGTATACCAGCTCGTGTTTGCCTCTATAATCGCCTTAGCCGTCGTCCCTCGTCAAGCCCAGGACCAGGCCATCCATCCATGAATGCCATAGCAGAATTTAAATTTTATTTTTAAACAAACTGTCAGCTCTCTTTCCCTCTTTCTCTCTTTCTCTCTTCTACTCTTCTCAGAATACGAGTAAATTGTGTGTAGTTATTTGGTTTTCTATGGAATAATATTCCATGGCCATTTTCTGATTGATCAGAAAGTAAAGAAAAAAAAAATTCGTGCAAATATTCCTTGTATTCGATGCAGAAAAAAATGCAGTATTAAATCGCATCGAGGGCTATGAGCTAAAGGCTAGATAGAAAATCCCAATACACTTGCAGATTAAAAATAGAAATAAAACTCCACTGCCAGCTACTGACACTTTTCCCCCTTTTTCCATTTTTATTAGAATTGAATTACATTAAAGGAAAATCTACCCTTTGAAATAAAAAAAAAGGACAAATGAATGAATAATTTATACGCTTCAGAATATTTCTATAGCCAATGAGAACAAATGTGGGTACCATTTTAATTGAAATTGACAGTTTTATATATAGACCCATTAAACTACAAATTGAAAAGTTTTCATAGAAGGTATTCTGAGTTGATTTATTTTATTGGTATCTTTCTTTGGTCCCATGATTTCTATGCAGAGATATTTGCTACAAAAAAGTTGGAAAAATCCTTAAAAATAATCATTGAATGATCATTTTGGCTGACATAGCAGGCATAGTCCATTGATAGGATAGATAGGATAAATACTAAAGATGAAGTCTTTCACAGACTTGCCAATAAATCAGCTAGAACAACAGATTCTTTAACGTGCGTTTGCAAATTTCTAGGAAAAATGAAATCACCCTCTGGCAAAGGGTATTAAAATACACAAAGTGGAATAATGAAAATGGCTTTCCACAGTTTCCACGAGCCGCAGGCCGTTCGTTGCGTGGCCACGACATGTTATGGCAGAAGATTTAATTAAAAACTTTTGACAAGTTTTCAGCTCGAGTTATGATTAATATTCGTACGAGTACCCGTGCACAGATTAAAGCAGAGTGCAGCTTGCACAAAGACCACACAAAATCCATATATCAATGTGCGCTCCATTAACTGATTTTTCATTCTCCATTTTCCACCCACACAGAGGAGCGACTGTTGGGCAGCAAGAGCCGAAGTGGCAGCGCCAGTGGCCATCGCTGGTCACTGCTCACCCGTGCCGGACACAGCGGCGGTGGTGGTGTTGCTGCTGGTGGTGGTGGCACCGGCCCCGGCAGCGGCAATCCTGGCAACGCCACCAGTGCCACAAGCAGCAGCAACAACAACAACAACACGCATCTGGCCAACAACAACAACACACTGATGGTTAAGTCATTGAATTTGCCAAAGGATGATACCAATCTGGTGTATCGTCGCAAGTCCTCGGGCAGCACACCGCACCACCACCAGACCGCGCACTCCACACTGCAGCAACAGCAGCAGCAGCAGCAGCAACAGCAACAGCAACAGCAACAGCAGCAACAGCATCAGGTGCAACATTTGGGGGACAGTTCGTTGTTCCAGCTGTCGGATGATTTTGAGTGTCATGCGGATGGCTCCCTGCTGCTCAGGTGAGTAAAACACTTCTCTCCAGCCGGGCTGTATTCATTTTTAATTGTACATTTCCTCGGCAAGGATCCCGGCCCCACATGTGGTGGCAGCGCGTGCCTATCGTCTGGCAGCCAGAAAGCGTGCCGCAGCCACCTCGGAGGCCACCACACCGCTGGCCAGAGAGCACACCCTCCACGAACTACCGCTGGCCGAGGCATCGGCAGCATCTGGCTCTGGCTCTGGCTCCGGCTCGGGCACGACCTTCACTCGCCTGGCTAAACTGCTGCATCAATCAAGTGGCTTCTCCGGCAGATCCAATCTGCAGCCGCCTCCCGGTGACACCACGTCTGTGAGTCTGGGACTCGGTCTGGGTCTGGGCGAGGATGCGCCCCGTCGTCTGTCCTGGGAGAGGTGCGTACTTGTGTAATTTATGACATCCTTCAGCACTAACCATCACTGTCAACATTCACCTTGACTGGCAGAGAAAGAGGTAGAGAGATAGCGAGATAGCGAGAGAGGGAGAGAGAAAGAGAGAGAACGGTTGCAATTAGCTAATTTCATTTGCACCCAGAGCAGCGGTGGCAAGCTGATCTCTGGCATGCCAACACCTACCTCCTAATGGCTGGCCACACATGAGGTTGTGACGTTGGCTGGCTGGATGGATGGATGGTGATGACAGGCGAGCAGCAGCTTGCCCTGCGGTCGAGTGTGGCATTTGTCTTCATTCGCTTCAATTCGCTTCACTTCACGGCGGTCTAATGGAGACACATGCAGTCGCAAGATTAACACACGCTCCAACAAAACCCCCAAGACAGAGACTCCTCTCGATGCTGGTTTAATTAACGTCAGGTGCCCAGTCCCTGTCCCTGTCCCTGCCCCCTCTCTACCTTTCTCTGTGTAGCAGAAGCCCAACTCAGGTCCTTGGCCAGCAGTCAAAGAACCTTTGGGAAACCAATTGATTTATACGAACATCAGACTAATTGAAACAGATTCAAATTGCATTGCTAGAATGGTCTGGCGTAGTCCGACCTGTGTGGAGAGATTGCATAAAGACACGGGTACACTATATATTTTCTTTAAATTTATATTCATTTTTGAAGATTGGATGCAGTACGAGTAGAAGCAATTTGTGATACAAACTTGTCTTGTTGACTGAATAAAATAATTGAGCAGCGGAAGAAGGCACAGAACCACATACATCCTGCAGACCTACCTCGGTCTGTGTCTGAGTCTGTGTCTGTGGTATTACATTCTTGTTCGAGCACAAGTCCTTGACGGGACTTAAGCAATTTACGAGCTGCAAGATTGCGCCTTGAACTATGCATTTGCCGGGCAACGCCTGAGCACAGTGACCACGGTCGAGTGTGTAAAATCATTTTGGCAAACATGCCACAGATACAGAGAGAGAACGAGACCCCTCTCTGGGCACTGATTGCATCGCTGCCACCCGCCCAGCGTGATACACAAGAAAGAACCAAAAAAAGATACAAAAGAACGTCAGTGGCCAGGTCAGGGTGCTCCTTTACAAGAGACTGTGCTTAAACTTTGATATTTTAAAATGCAGAAAACCGAAACACAAACTCAAACCCAAACAAAAAGGGAGAACGATTTTCGGGCGGGTTATTGTTGTCCGAGTGCTAGTACTTTACTTACTCATTCTTCTGCTGTTTGTTTGTGTTGCGTGTTGCTAAATTTAGAGCCAGAAAACAACGCAAATGGCAGCTGGAGCAGCTATCAGCAGCCAGAAGAAGCCAGAAGCAGCCAGCAACCAGCGATTCGCATAATAATAACTGCAGAGCAGAGCAGAGCAGAACACTGAGTAGAGGCTACGGCTACTCTTCCTTTGGGGTTTTCTTAGTCCTCACTGGCTTAATTGTGAATGCATTATTCATGAGGAAGTCAGACCCAAGAAAAAGGAACAACAACAGCCACAACACGAAGGGAAAGATGGTAAGCGAACGAACAGTGGGGCCAATAAAACAGTGTCCTGTCCTGTCGTGTCTCCTGTCTCTTTGTCCCAAGTCCTGATGCTAAGGATAAAGTTTTGTGCGTCTTGTCGTCTGTCGCCTGTGTTCTGCTTCTGTGGCACGGCGGCACCATCCAATCCACCATCCAACTAGCTAAGGCAACACAAGATGCCACTGGAAGTTCGAGCAAACGAACCATAAATGAAATTGCGCATACGTCATGTGGTACACGTACACTCACAAAAACACAGCCGAAGACAAATACAACGACAACACTCATTACCTTCAATGTCTGGGAGGGGGTGGTGTCTTATGTACTGTAAAATTTTATAAATTGCATGCAACTCGGCACAAAAAAAAGAAAAAAAGAGAAGGAGAAAAAAAGCTTAGCTAAAAGCCTCGACAAAATGTCTCGCTGCTGATGTCAACATCAATTTGTGGGGCATCGTTGCCACATTCTGCTTTTGATTTACTTTCCGTATCACTTTGGGCCCGTTTGATGTCGCCAGAGGAAACGGCTCCCTCCCATTGGGGAAGTTTGTGTATGTGATCCGCATAAAAGGTCACCAAATTGGTGATGGAACCAGTGCGTATACCAAAATGATTATGTGCGTCGGAGAAGCCAGGCAGCTGTGCCAGCCCCCGAAAGAGTCAATCGGACTATCGAATTCATTAGTCCAAATGTAGGCCGAAATTGACCAAGAGAATGCGAGAGAAAACTTTGTCGGCAGAGCCAACCCATATCGATTTGCAGCCACTCCCTTTCTTTCCCACTTATATTCCATTTGTGTTCCTTTTTCCGTTGCTAATGCACTATTCACTCACCCTCAATTACGGTGCAGTGGCCAACAATGCCATGTCCTAGACAATTTCGGTGCTGTTCGGAGTCATCTCTCATTAGGGGAATTTCACACAAAAGGCAGGCAGTGGGGGACCCCCCCAGTGACCCAGAAACACCTTAACAGCTTGAAGAGCGGGTGCTGTCTGGCCACGCAGAAGGATTCTGTATGTCACATATGGCCACAGAACATGGCACATTCCCTGGAAATTCGCTTTCACAGGCGGCTTTTAGACAAGAGTAAATAAGGAGGCCAAATGGCAGACAACCAACGGGCATGGAAAGACACTCAGAGCAGCAAGTGTGTGTGTGGCATCCACTGGCAGCGCATACTCGTATACCCGTTCGGGAGTACACGAGCCTTGTATTCGGCCTTGTCATGGCAAATGCATGGTTATGCTTGTTGTTTCTATATTTGGGCAAACATCGCATGGAGCGCCCACTTCCAATCCCCATTTGACTCTGCTCCTGACTTATTGCCACCAGTTGGCAGCCGGTTAAAGTGCCCGACTGCCACCCTGCCTGCCACATCTATGCATAACCTAATAACAATCATTATTATTGACTAGGCACCAGCACAGCCGGTGGTTGGTTGGCAAATACGAGATGCAATCGGAAGGGGTGGTCTGCTGGCCCATCTCTATCTGGCTGTCATCTTTCATTCCACCCTCAAAGACAGCATGAGGTTGACAACTAGTCGAGGAATCAGGCCAACTGGGGTCTCGTCTCTTTCCCACTCTCTCTGCCTGTCGCCTGCCATGAAATGTTTCTGTGGCTTCGGAGTTGCTTGTACTTCTACCCTGCCCCTCCCAAATAAACCCATGCCCACACCATCAGCCATCAACCGGTGATGACGAGCACAACTTTTTACCCAAGAGTTCACTAAGCGAAGTCGAGAGCAAGGAGTAGTGTTGTTGGAGGAGCTGGAGTTGGGGAATCACTTCGTTTGTTGCCTAAAAGCGTCGTCGTAATTTGATTGAATTTGCGTTGATTAAGCGTATTTAGCTGTTGGCAAATTATGAATGTGTTTAATTGCAAATTTCCTCAACTTTGTCTCGGAGAAAGGGACAGACATTCCCCCTTCGCCCCTCCGGTTTATTATGGTTTCGGATTAACAGAATTACTGCTTGTACAAATGCATCTATCCGCCCAGCACTCTCGACCCCACCTTCCACCAGATCAAATTAACTCTACTAATGATGGGAGGGGAGGGGGGGCTATGTTTGTCGACAGCTTTTGCGGTTTTAATTGAAAATGTTGCGCATACGACATGTTGTACATAAATATATGTCGCATGTATGGGTCCAACTTGGAGGACAAATTTGTGAACTGACTGATGCGTTGGCACAGGGAAACTTTGCTCAAGGCTATGGCGGGTTTAATGTGGTCGACTTTTCCAACTTGACTCTGATTATGCAAATGCTCTAAATGTGCCACAGAGTATGGGTGGAGGCAGAACTCAATTTATGTGCGGCCTGAAAATTTGATTTAGTGTGTTGCAAATATCGTACATATACGAAAGCAGAAGGTTACGAAATAAAATGGTTTTGAAAAGCCAACACAGTTTTAATTAAGGTCTATGTTTATGAAACTCTGACGAAAGAGGTTTGAGGGGAGTCCATTCCGATCCTTTCGCTACTAAGTATGAGAGAGTATGAGCTTCTGTGTTTCCGAATTCAGTAAATCTCCTTCTAGTTAAATTACCTGTACATGTACATGTTTTTGCAACGCTTCTTGCTACTATGAACGATGGTAATTTCTTCTCGGAACTGATTAACTATTCCTTGTATTTTATAAAGAAAAACATTTGGTATTGCTTTAAGAATTTAAAGGAGCGATGGGCTCTATGCATTTTTGAGAGTGGGCCAAAAAAAAACTCTTAAATGTATGTTATTTTTGCCATTTTTGGGGATTCGCTTTACCGCATTCGCTTGTGCCTCATATACATACATATATGAGAATGAGTCATGCACAGCACATGTATGTTGCTTGTGCAATTCTCCTCTATATTCTTTTGCAGCATTCGCCTGTGCGTCTCAATGAAGCATCAATGTACCGAGTCATGCACAGCACATGCATGTTGCTTGTGCATATTCTTTTTCAGAATTCACTTGTGCCTCTCGAGCGTGCCCACCGCTCCTTAAAAGTATTTCTATACAGACGACTCAAGACACCCAAGCAGTCTTCAGCGTGGTTTATTTCAATCCTATACAGTTGAATGTAAACATCCAAGTTAAGCTGAAGTTTCAGACCATCCCGAAGTGGCCACATCAATCCATTACCAAGCCGCTAAGTGAGGCGTAAATTGCAGTTTACTGTGACCTCTGTGTTTGCCCATCAACTCCATTGTTTGTCTCGATTTGCAGGCCATAAACTTGGCAAGTCATAGTCAAGAAAATGCAAAGAAAATGCCAAGAAAGGCCGGGAAAAACAAGCAGCAAGAGGAAAACTGAAGAAAACTATTTGTATTTAGCTTGAATGAAGAAATATGTTCAGAGGCGAGTGTGGTGTATGCGTCGACTTTGTCGGCATTACCCACAGCACGGCAATAGCGCCAGCTGTCTGCGCGGGGCTTTCTCCAATCGCGTGGCCATAAAAAACGGTCACATTATGGCCAACTAGGCCGGCCACTGACCGCAACGGGGCAACGGGGCAACGTAGGCAACGGGGTAACCGGGTAACGGGAGAAGTTGGCGGCAACACTTAATGGTCTGTGGGTAGCTCATTAAAATGTCCGACAGCATGAAGTAATTACGATACTTTATAAGCTGTCGCCACTTTTACGCGGATCTCTGCAGCATAGCCACTTACCCCCCGACCAGCAGGGACTCATCCTTTTCCGTCTCTTTGATTTCTGTTTGCAGGCGCAAGGACAGCAGTGCACTCCAGCGTTCGGCCAGCATCGACTCCTTTGCCGAGATTGTGTTTAGTGACCTGCCGCGCCCCTCGCTGGCCGTCACGGCGCCAGGTGGTGGTGGTGGTGGTTCCCCCTCGCCGTTCAGCAAGCGGCCCTCGGCCAGCAGTCTCTACTCGACATCCTCCTCCGGCACCACATTCGGCGCCCAGGCGCAGGCCCAGCTGAATGTCAATTACGGCGACCTGGGCTTCGGCTCTGGAGCTGGCTCCGCGACGGGGTCGAGTGGCGGCCACCTCCACCACCAGCACCATCCAGGAAACGGGAGCAGCAGTGCCAGCAGCAGCCGGCGGGAGAGCATGCTGAGTCCATCCTCCACCAGACGCTCCAAGCTGACCAGAATTATAAACGGTGAGTGCTGTGACAGGGAAAGGGGCATGGGATTCCTACTTAGTTACAAATGCAGCACGGGCAATGCGTGCCATATTGGTGGGGAAGTGGCAGTGGTCCTCGTCATCAGTGGCTCATCGGATCCGTGCGGCGGCTTATTTATTTCGCTGCAGCCACCTGATTGAAATTCAAATGCGCACTCGAGCGGACCGGGTGGGCTGCCCGGACAGGAGCGGCATTAAATCGATTGCCACTTGGACAAAGAGCTCACTGTTCGGCAGTGGCTCACGGCTCAAATCTCAGAGCTCGAAGTTGAGCGACTTCCCAGCAGGACACCGAGCGGAATAAATCAGCTGAACTAAACAAAAATTGATACATTATGTACCATTTTCAAGGTTTAACTCTACCATTCTCCACCAGCTCAAGCGGAAAGGAAATTTCACAAGTTTCAGGCTCCTGAAAGTTCAGTTTGTTGAAAGGATTACTACGTAAAGGACTCAAGTCTTAAAAAACTTTAAGTTCCTTAAGAACTAACTTTTTCTGGGAACTATACTACAATTTGGACTCGTGACAGAGCTTTGCTGGGTATAAAACGCTTCGATCAACGCAAATCCAGAAGATCAACAAACTCTTTTAATCTCCACTTCCGCGGAAAAACGTTTGTAATACGAGTACATACAGATAGAATGGATATGTATGTGAATGGATTAATAAAATAAGAGCTTCCTCTGCGACTGGGGACACATTTTAATGCTTACGATAACAGAAAATAGACTTCAATGCTTCCCATATACTATGTACATATGCTATCATTCTGTGTGTCTGATTTAAGACTCTGCAAGCTGAAAAAAAGAATAATCGAAACTCACTGTCGCATCGAGAATTTGAAGCCTACGATTATATAACTTTCTTCACTAATTTAAAGAACTATTAAATCGCCAAAAATCGCTATAATCGTGTGATTATTCAAGTCAGAAAGACTACTTTTTCCATTACAATATTCCCATATTTATCCAAGAGAGTGGCTTTGCAACAATTAAACTCCAATTGGATCGTTTTCTGCTGGCTGCTCAAGCAATTATTCCAAGTAACGGGTATCTTATAGTCGGAATAACTCGACTTGAACGATCTACTTGCTATCGCTGCCCCCAGCAGCGTCAGAGGCAGAGGCAGAGCCAGAGGCGGAGAGTGGATGAGATGAGAGGTTGGTTTGCAATGACGCAGAGAGCGGCGGCGACTAACTGTGAAGCGCTGACCATTGACGGCCGACGCCGACGCAGACAACTACAACGACAACGACGACGACGACGACGGCGGTTGTTTGTGCCCCACCGCCGGGGCTGCAAGCGCAACAACTTCGTTTTCAGTCGAAGAACGACTTTTGAGCGCAGTGCGCGTCGGCGTCGCGTGTTAACGGAAGACGACGAATAAGAAACCCGATTTGATCGGCCGAAAAGCGCTCCCTTCACCAGGCGAGATCAAAGTGAAGAGGCGGTAGAATATCACGTGTGTGCTTCGAGTATTATAAGGCTGCTAAAGTGTGTTGGAATAAACCAAATTTACGAGTAAATTTGTGAAAATTGTGCAAATGAAACAATAAAAAAAACGCGTCTCTCAGCCGTTTCGTTTCTGCTTCGTTTACCTCGTTTGCGCATGTGTGTGAGTGCCTGCTACCTGTTTGCTGCGGCGCAAGTGTGCGTGTGATCGAGGGAGAGAAGGAGAGTGGGAGAGAGAGCGTACGTGCGCTGTGTGTGTGTTACCTGCGCCGCCGCGGCGGGAGAGTGGCTAAAAGGAGAGAGCCAGAGAGTGAGAGAGAGAGAGAGAGGGAGAGCTGCTGCTGGCTAAGAAGTGTCAAAAAACTAAAAGGCGTCGCTTTCGTTTAAAAAAAAAGAAACGTTAAGGCAACAGTCTAAAACAGTAAGTAGCCGCGGGGCAAAGAGAAATCTTTGTGTGTGCTGCAAATGTTAATTAAATATTACGTGCCAGCAAAAAGAGCTGCAATTTACAGTAGTAATTGGATTGCATGTCCACCGCCACAATAACAACGACAGTTGCAAGCAATACGACTACAATTACAAACAAAATAAAAATAAAAAAAAACTACAACTACCAGCACAAGGCGAGGGCAGCGAAAGTGAACTTTTGCTTTTGGAAGAGGAATAAAGAGAGAGACGGAGAGAGAGAGAGGGGTCAGGCTTCCGCTCCCTCCAAGCAATTTACTCACGTGTCTGTCAAACTGTCTCCAGCCCGAAGCTTCAGCAAGATAATTACACTGCCAGTGTCTTTGTGTCTCGTTCGCACGCTACGTGAAAGCCTCTGCCTGCAACTGTAAAAAAGCTCTCTGGCAAGCTGACTGATCTCAGTGCAGTCGGCGTCAGCGTAGCCGTCGACGTTTTCATTAAAGTTGTTTATGCTGCAATTTTAAATACATGCACTCAACCCCCCGCCCGCCACCATGAACAGGTAAGCACACGCATACATACTCACATTATACACACACACAAACATACATCAGCGCACCCAGAGGCTGCAGCCTCTTACTTTATTGTGGAAAAATATGCAACGGCATGGAAAAACTTGAACTATTGCAACATTGTTGGGAGGGGGCGGGGGGGGGCTTTTGTGTCTTGTCGTTCGTTTGCCAAAGTTTATTCACACCGCAAGAAAGTCAAAGTTGTCGGCGTTTCAAAAGGCATTCAAACATCATGTAGCATCTTCCCCGTCTCCCCCCGCCCCATGAGGTATTTTTGCACATTCCCCCCCCCCCCCCCCCTTCCATTCGTGAGATCTAACATTTGGTTTTCTTTACAACTAGCCTGCAATTGACAGCACGCTATCAGCCCCCCTCCCGGTTACGACCTGCCGCATGCCGCATGCCGCATGCCGCATGCCGCCTGGCTCCAATTGGAGCTGAAGTTCGCGTTGGCCATTAATATTTCATTGGTTGTTTTGACCGTTGTTTCGCTTTCGGTTCGTTTGCCAAAACAAACCGTTACGTTCTTCTCCCCCGCACGGCACAAGTCACGTCGAATATACGATTCTCTTTAGATACCCTGTAATTGTTGGATTTGGTGTGTATGGGTTTTGTGGGGATCTGTTTGAAAGCTAGGATTCTGATCGCATTCCTGCATTACTGTTCCACCACCGAAGACTGTTGTATCCGGTCAGAATAGGGTACTAAAATGTTGTATTCAAGTATTTCCCTCCTTGGCACTTGTTTTAATGGTATTTTGATAGATTAAACGGGGTTTTATTTAAATAATCTTAAATAATAACTCCTTGTATAGGGTACCACGTAGTCGGAATACGCAACAAACCTTTAATTTCTTGTTATTTTTTTGTAGCTTTTCCTTTACTTGAGAATAATAAAAATGGAATAAAACTAAGTTTTCTCGATTTTCAGCAAGGAAAAATAAGTTTTTTTCCAGTTTAGCGATGGATGGAAAGTGGGTCTAGCTGTCAGGTCAGGCAGGAGTGGAGAGTGTGGTCTAAAGGAGAAAGTGAAGGAGCGAACCTGGCGCTGGTGGTAGTAACCGCCTGAGAGGGCACTTAAGAGCACCGGAGGCCAAAGTTTGCGCTTGCGTTTTTGCTATTCCATTTTATTTCGAGTTGTGCACTTATTAAAAAGTTTTAAATGTTTGATTAAAAAAGAATTCATCACGAAATTTGTTGTGGCACATTGCCTGAAAGTTTTTAACAATACTTTAAGTTTGTTTACTTTGGCTCCGGCTCCAGCTCCGGCCCCCAACCCTCCGCTGTTATCGAACTGGGCGGGTTCTGGAGGTGGCTTTGGAAGAAGTCAGCTCTTATCGAATAAATAAACACCAGCAGCAAAAACATTGGGGGAAACCTCTGAAACGAGTAGTTAGTCGGAACCATATCATTTGTCGTCGATGTATTGAATAATGTCTGTAGATAGCGTTGGACCCCGGTCCCCTGTCAGATATCGCATGTACAGAGTACACACATGGGCATGAGCCAATGTGTGAGGTGTGTTCCCGAATACTCGCAATGTGTGAGATTGTGGCGGACTTGGTTTGTTTGCCTTTTGCAAAACGAGGGAATAGCGTGACTTATTCCCGAACGAAATTTGAATAATAGCAGTGTTTTTTCGCAAAACAAAAGGCAGTTTTGTCTGTATCTTTTCGTCAACCCATAGTCTCAGTTTATTCAGTGACGGACCAGTATTAGGTCGTTAGCGGTGCCCGAGAATTATGGAGTAAGAAGAACTTAGAATTTACTTTTGACAACTTTCCTTGGAATATGAAATAAGGCGAATAGGGCTTCATTAGCACCGGATCTGAACCAGCTTCCACCAACGCGGCGTCTCGGCGTCTCGGCATCCTTCATTAGGCGGAACAACGGAACAGATTTCCAAGAAATGTTAATTTTCTCGTCTGTCTCTGAATCTGTAGCGGTAATGGGAGCAACTCTTTGGAGGTACTGGATTTTCTCAAATTACCATCGATTTTTGGGGACGAGAGTCATGGCAATTTCGGGATGCTACAAATATTGCCTCAGCGCCAGCCTCGTCTCCAGTTACCTCATTGGGCGGGGGCGGGGGGCCATGCGGCGAGGCCATTGTGTGAGCCGTCTCAGGCTGCTGCTGCTGGCAAGGAAATCGCTTTACAAAGCAGATAAGCGACTGAAATCAATCAAAAGACTTTTATATCAAACAATATAAATGAAATGTTGTATGCCGTTGTCGTTGTCGTTGTCGTTGTCGCTGCGGCTGTTTCCAGCGATTATAGCTGTGATTCTTTCGTGTCTATCTTGGGTTGACGCGCTCGCTATTCCGAATTGAACTTTCACGTTTGTCACGTTGCGCCCTGCCCCCAGAACAGCGCAATGAGCACGTAGAGCCCACACACACACCCGATTCGAGCCGATCCGATCCGATCCAAGCGGAGCCGAGCCAAGACCCCAAGCGGACATCCCACAGCACAAACATGCAAATGAATGGCCTCTGGAATGGTCGAGTGTGCGTACACACTCGCACATATGTCAAATGCGTTGTGGGG